GGATACCTCCTATCTAACGATGGACACTAACTGAACATTTTGTTTTAGAAAATAATAAAGCTGTTTGAAAAATCTCTGCAATTATATGAAGGTTTAGACGCTACTTGTACATTACCAGATATCCTCATATTATTTAGAAAATTTAGTTCAGAGGTGGCGGCAAGATTTGCCCGGCGGGGAATCCGATGTCTCCGAGGGTAGGGGCAATGTCGCATCGTTCCAAATCTCTCGGAAGTTATCAAAGGGCTACGCCCCCGGAAACTATGACTATTTAACGGTTTCAAACGCTTAATTAATCGAGTCTACGTGTAAAAACTAGGCCCTATATATTGTTTTTGCTTCCACAACAAATAGTGTTTTCTTCAAAGACATTTTGTTTGATGGTAGTAGGGATGACAACCATCTTAACCCGTGAGTAACCGTGTGTATTTTGCGTGAGAGAAGTGTAAACTTAAACGAAGATCAATTTCTAATTTTCATTTCAGCATTTGCTCCACGACGGGTCTGCGCAAACGGTGCATTTTCTCGAATCTGACAATTAAGGTTAATAGTGTAGAAGAATGTTTACATTTTTAAAGAACGAAAATTAGCAGTTCACGAGATTGCAAAATTGCACAATTTACAAAGTGTACGTACTTGTAGTTTATTTACAATATTATTCTAAATGTCACTTTTTACAATAAATCGTCATATTTAATTTTGTTATTCTGGATAAACTATATCATTTAATCTTTTTTCACAAGTTATGTAGGCCTATATACACCTTATATGAGCAGCCATACAACAAAATAAATTATCAGACAAATGATCGTCAAATCATCTAACGTCTGGCATTATTAAGTGTTCGCTTTTATTCCACCAGCAATGTTTTACTGATATTGGTACAATAAAAGTAATTCATAACAAAAAACATTCCCCGTGGTCACACATGTAGGAATAAAGAAGCTTCCACACAAAGCCACAACCTGCAAATAAACCTTTAGAAAGTTAAAATTACATCTGTTCAATGACATGTTAGAGTACGTCTAAGTCAGTGTGATATGAATTATTGAAGTTGGTATCGACATCCACATCGAATTATTGATGTTGATGTTGGTATCCACATCCACATTATCAACATTGAAATCGGCATCATAGGCCTAGACTGTTATCGTATTCTGCTGTGATTCGGAAAAACGCATTATATAAGCCAAAAGAATAGACATAGATTTAAGACACAAACTACGTTTTCATTAACTTTGTCAAAAATAGGCCTTTCCAATTTTAAACAAGTGCCAATGAAACATTAAAAAAATAATGCTAGGCTGTTAGG